TTCAACAAATCATAATAACAGCAGTTTGTGACCATATGTATTCAATTCTCAGCATCCGTATGTGGATATTGAGAACTTGTGTTCATTAGACAATCAATTATGAACAAGTGATGCAGCGATCTTTTTCTTCCTCATCTGCCGATCATCGACATTACAATCGTCCATCAACAACAGCATGTCGACATTTGCCTGTTCATCTTGTTTATAAGAATGGCAATGATTTTTATTCTTCCGACACTGATGTTCATCGTAAGACATTTATTCAACGCGTATCATCAACAAGTAGTGTTTCCTCAACAAGTTCAAGCATTAATGGGAGTTACCGTATATTACCAGTACGATATTCCTCAATAGACCAGATTCTACCAAACCTTCCAAGTGCAACAGCGAATGAACGTGGTATTAACGTACGCATACAATTCGATCGCCCCCATCGCCATCATAAACATCGTCATCGAAATCATCATCATCGTCGTCAACGTCATCATACTGAAGAATACGAACGACATCATCATAAACATATGACGAAAGATCATCAACATTATAATTCTTGTCCTTTACTTGATGAAAATAATCCAAATTCATCATGTTTAGGACCATCAAATATAACTTGTATTGAAACTCGATCAATTGTACGCGATAATTCCAATAATGAACTTAATAAGAATAATTATATTAAACCTATGATTATTCGTGAACGATCAATTCCTAAATCACCAGTAACAAATACTCGAATAAAACATATTCCATTTAATCCAAATTGTATATCAACACGAGTCATACGTGAAGAAGAGGAATGAAAATTTTCGATTTTTTTTTATTTTTAATTTTCTTTATTTTAAATTATTTCTAATTTTTAATTTTAATTTTAGGATTTTGAAAATGATCTTCGTTCACAAACAAATCGAATTCACGAGATTCAACAAGAATGTAATTCATCATCACATCAAGAATTACGTTCATTAGTTAATCAAACATCAGATCATGTTCAAAATTTATATATTGCATCGAAAAATTATTCTGAAAAGTAAATAAACTCTCAATAAATCAATATATATATCGATGTTTTTAGATTGGGTATTGCTGATACAGCTTTAAATCTTCTTAATAATCTTACATCTCAGATAATTGAATTAGAAACTCGTTTAGTTTCACAATCATCCCTTGTTGACGATGAACATTATATTCATCGTCAATTAAATGATCTTAATGAACTTAATAATCATTTACAAACACTTGAGAAGTCCATTAAAGAACTTCTCATACAAAGTAAACAACTTAGCAATGATAGATTGATTCGTATTAGCGAACAATTAGCAACACGATGGAAACATATTACTTCAGAAATTTATCGAAGGTTTAATTAATTGAAAATAAAGACTTTTATATATATTTTTTCATTTATAGAAAACGATCGATTATACAAATAATTGAATCAC